TCATGTGGTTCATGAGAAATGCTCTGCTCTCTAAGTTAGGAAGAGGCCTGAGGTGCTCAGACCACTAGAGTGGCAAGCACTGGCCCCTTGGTTCAGAAAAAAAATCTCAGATTCCATGCTTCAAGGCTGCTCATTTTGCAGCTTTCCTGGGAGCTCCGTTCACTTACAGCTATAGGCATACAAATATATGTGCCATACAATAATCCGGCTTGGAAATCCCACTGGAGCAAAGTATTTAACTGAAAAATATTTGGAGTAACTTCTTTGCAATGTATAGAGCAACAAGAGTTTAAGGAACGATCTCACTGTATTTAAACAGTCATTACTGCTTTCTGGGTAAATAACACATGTTTTTAAAATGGTCTCTACACACAATAGACGCTAACACAATAAATCCTAATTGCTCTGAAGGACCCATTAGGCTGTATCAGGTCAATACATGGCGGAGCTTTTTTTGAAAGTCACTCACCCTGTTGTTACATAAGCCACAAATTGAAAGTCCATAAATAAGTATTTGCCAAATGAAGAGTGAGGGCTTTGCCAGGGCCATACTAATTTATCATGTCAACTTCACTATGAGACTGTTTTCTTTTGAGAGAAAAAGACAAAAAAAAAAAAAAAAAAGCATAATGTGCTGTGTTTAGAAAACTACATATCTGAAAAGTTTCAGACATTTCAGGCTGCACTATACCCCCCAAGAAAATTAGATGTAAGGAACTTCACTGTTTCCTGTTTATCTCAGCGTTGTGAGTCACAGCAAGGAGATTTGAAGATCAGACATGGCTGTAGCATGGCAGAGGCCCATCCTCATCACCACCAACCTTCCTGCAGCTCTGGGCCAGGGCCCTGATCCTGCCTCTCCATGCTGTGGATAGTGGCACCTCAGGACAGGAACATCCTTTCAGTATTCCAACAGTGGCTCATGGGAAGGTTCCCACTACCTGGGGAGGCCAAAGAAAGCTTATTACACTATTTTATGTGCACTTATATGTATAAGTATAGTTAATTAATAAGTGATGAGTTTGGCAAGATTAGTTTTATGTGCAGCCACTCTTCCTGATTTTACTTTCGTCTTACTTACCTGAACTTCTGGTGGCATTTTTCAAACTGCAGCACTTGTGTTAGCTAGGTGTTGCTAAAGTCTGTGTCACTGTTTGAAATTAAGTTTTGGATTAATTCATTCAGAAGTTTTCAAGTTCCATGTAACTTTTTGGATATGGCTACAGTTTGGTATAGTTTTGTTTTCCTGCAATATGCTAAGGTGTGTAATTGCACAGGTGTATATAAAACCAAATTGTATTGATGTAAGCTAGGATTTTAAAGGGAATTTCAGCAATGCATGGTGAAAAGCATTCAAGTGATTTAAATCTGAATTCCTGTCCCCAGGCCACAGCCTTTAATTCATCCGGGCACATGAGATATGTTCACCCCCGCTGCTGTTACACTTCAGTAGGATTTGGGTGCCAGGGTCCTTCTGCAAATGCTGGCAGTGATTCTCACTCTGCTCTGCCTGTTTGCAAAGGGCCAAGAGTCCCTCTGTCTCCCTGCCTGTCAGGTCCCTCCTGCCTGCAGTGCAGCAAGAACCTTGGTCTCATTTAGGAGCTCCAGGTGCTGTTACACGAGGTCAGTCTTGGTGCTGGGGTTTGCAGCACAGGCAGCCTGGAGCTGCAGCTCTCAGGTGGGAAGGCAAACACTTGCCACAGTTGGAAGCAGAAGCACACCTGCCTTGGTGCAGCATGCAGCCATGTCCTCAGTGTGGGGCAAACACTGATATCCTTTTGTACCAGTATACAGTGGTCTGCTGTGCTGGTGCTGCCAAAAGTGATGTCTGTTCCTGTACTCGTGACGGGCAGTAAGGCACAGTCTTGTGCTGCTGCAAACCACCTTATGGTCCCCAGCACCCCCTCACTCAAGCAGTTTGTTATCAGAGGTCACTGCTAATTTGAGCAATGCCTGAGCCAGCACAGCCTCCAGCTGGGGTGACTGGCAGGCTGCCCACCAGCACCGGGAGACTGGAGTCACCTGTTCTGGGCCCCCACTGCTCCCTTCCTGGGAGCTGGAGACCTGTCAGCAGTGCAGACAAAACCACGATTTGCTGCTTCAAGCAAGAAGGGTCGAGGACCAAGGGGTGTGCTGATCCTGTGACAAGAGGGGCAGGAGGTTCCTGCCCTGCTTTGGTGCCGGCAAAGCCAAGAGCGAGATCAGTGCTCTCTGGCTTTGTCCCTGCCCAAAGCCTGGGCTGAAAAGCTCTTTGCAAAAGTCTGCTGAGTCCTCTAACAAGGGCAAGGGCAATAGCCAGTCTTTACAAAGGAAACTCAGTCCTTTTCTAAAGTCTTTTAAAAGTCATGGTATCCTTCACAAAAGCAATTTGTCCAGGTAAACAGTGTACACTGACAATCAGCAATGAAAGAACCAAATGCAGAAATATTTACCACCCTTTTACTTTCTGCTCCTACCAGGAACCACTGCATCCCAGCTGAAAATGCCTCAGTGGGTGGAAGGTATGTCTGTGAGGACACTATTGCCAGTCCATGCCTGAATCCTCTGGGCTGCAGCCAGGAACAGGGGTTGGATGTACTCCCAAGCAGACCAGTCTAGCACGGTGGAGCTTCGTGGACACTTCTGCACATGGATAAAAGGTAAAGCAATTTTTAATAATTTAAGAGTTTTTTAGCTACAAAAGCATTTTCTTAGGGCCAGGAAACACTTCCTTTTTTGTCTGTAGTGTTTGACACGGTAAATTTTGTGCAGACGCATCTTCTGTTACTAATAATGCTGGATGCATTAGCACTGTACTCTCACACTGTACTGAAGAGATGAGTAACAAACCTATCAACTGCACTTGCACATACCCCATATTTAATCCTGCTCTGGTTGTTCTGCTACATATTCATAAAAACCAAAAAGGAAACAGAAGCACAGAGCAAGCCAACAGATGTCTACCTGGCTCTTAATTGGATTTTATGTGTCCCCAGTGTAGCAAATACAGCATTATTTACAGCCAGGCTCTAAGAATTAGATACATCTGGAGGAGTGGCAAAACCTGAACCAGGCTGCAAGAGTTGATAGATTAACTGAAATGAAGAGCTGCACCATTTTCCCTTTCTTATCTTCTCCCTTCCCACTTATGTACCCATTCCCCATTGTATGTCAAATCAAACGAAGATGTTGCCCAAGAGAATGCTTATAAAAACGAAAAATGCCAACAAAAAAAGACAGTTTCTGCTCTTATGGAGCTTCATCAGCATTTTCTAATTGTACAGCAATGATGATAATAAAAAGGCTGCCCTCTTCTCTCAGCTATAATTTGGATAATCAACTGACAGCCATAATGAAACTGTCTGTGATTGCTTTCTGCTGGGCTGCTAGTTCACAGAAGTCATTGTTGAGGAGAATTAAAAGTTATGACTCCTGCTACAAGGATATGCCACTGTCTTCCAAAGGAACATGTGACTTATAATTTTCTTCTGTATAGCTCTATTACAGAAAAAACTTACAGTGTAAAGCAAAGAGGTATAGGGATGTGAGATTTCTTTTTTTTTCCTTTTTTTAAAAAAAATGTTAATCATCAAAGTTGACAGTGCCGAGTAATATGCATGCCTAGTCTGGGTGGATGTGGATTTCAGAGGTGATTGTCAGGTCTCTCGCCTTAAAATGACTGATGACTGGTCATCAGCAGTCAGTGCTCTGCCTGTGGGTACAGCAGCCACTGGCCTCGGAGCAATAAGCAAGTCAGGTTTTACTTCTGGGAGGAAGGCAGGAGCTAAGTCATGCTTTGAGTATTTCCTTTGTGAGCTTTGGGTGCAGTTAGGGGTATTTTGGGTGCTGGTGTTCCCCAGCACCAGGCCTTGAATGCAAGGTGTCTGTATCTGATGTGCTGTAGGTATGTCTTGACTAGTAGATGCAGGGCTGGATGCAACTACTCCGGTCTAAAATGCCCTTCCATCCACATCTACTGAGGTGGAGTGAGTAGCTCCTGTGCAAGGACTTAGGAGCAGCCTTCTACCTTGGCCAGAATAAGGCTCTGCCATAGCAGCTGCAGTCTGGACCCCCGAATGTGGCTTCCGAAGCAGGTCTGTTGCCCTGTGTGCCCTGAACATGCCGTGGACTTCAGGGCTTTCAGGGAAGCGCTTGAAAATCAGGCTGGCATTTTCGGTGTTTATGAATGCATGGACTGGAGGATTGGAATTGCCGGCAACTGAGCGTGACCACCTCGGTGGCTCTGGCAAGAGCCCGCGGTCCCAGGGCGCTGGGCAGAGCCCTGTGCCCCGGCACGGTCTCGTCGTTGGTTCGCGCAGCGCTGCAGCGCAGGCCACTCGCCCGGGCGGGAAGAAAAGCGCTGGCGGCGCGGATGGCGACAGGAATCCGGGCCAGGAATGTGGTAGCGCCTGCATTCGGGCAGGGGCGGTTTTCCTTCCCGCCGAGGCTCAGCGTTCCAGGAGTCGGGAGCGCTGCCCCACGGGGCAGCTCGGGCACGGGCAGCGCCGGTAGATGCTACAGTGCCCCTTGTACCCGGGCTGATGTGCCATGGCCGAAGCAGGGCAAAGCAGTCGGAACCCCTTCACGTCTCCCCTTCCCCTACCCAGGGTTTCCCCCGTTCGTCCCAGTCCCGTTACGGCGGGCGAGGCCCCGGCCCCCTCCCGCGAAGAGGGGCTGAAGGGCCCGAGGAGGAAGGGGAGAAGCGGCAGCAGCGCCGCGGGCACCGCCTGCCCTCCTCCTCCAGCCGCTTGGCTCTTCGCGCCGAGCGAGGGAAGCCGGGCCGGGCCGTGGCGGCGCTGGGAGGGCGGAGGGTCCCGGGTCTCGGGAGGGGCCCGGCGGGCAGGAGGGGAAGGCGATGCACAGATGCGGAGCAGTCAGTGGTTTGGCAGCATCGTCATCTTCTCACTTCGCCGCCTGCCCCCGGGGCCGCCGCGGGACTCCGAGCGCCGGCGGAGGGGACCCAGCGGGACGCCTGCAGCAGCGGGCCCGGGGCAGCGCGGCGTTCCGCCGGGGATCCCGTTCTCGCTCCCGGCGGGGCCCCGCTCCCGGCGCGGAGGCGGCAGGTGCCCGGGACATGCGGCGGCGGTAGGACGCGCGGCGGCGATGGGCGGCCGGGGGCTGCCGGTGCCGCTGCTGCTGGGGCTGCCGCTGCTGCTGGGGCTGCCGGCGGCGGGGCGCGCCGCCTCCAAGGCGCCGGTGTGCCAGGAGATCACGGTGCCGATGTGCAAGGGCATCGGCTACAACCTCACCTACATGCCCAACCAGTTCAACCACGACACGCAGGACGAGGCTGGGCTGGAGGTGCACCAGTTCTGGCCGCTGGTGGAGATCCAGTGCTCCCCGGACCTGCGCTTTTTCCTCTGCAGCATGTACACCCCCATCTGCCTGTCCGACTACTCGAAGCCGCTGCCCCCCTGCCGCTCCGTCTGCGAGCGGGCCAAGGCCGGCTGCTCGCCCATCATGCAGCAGTACGGCTTTGCCTGGCCCGAGAGGATGAGCTGTGACAGCCTGCCGGTGCTGGGGGACACCGAGGTGCTTTGCATGGGATACAACCACACGGAAGCCACCACCCTGCCGCCTTTCTTCGGGAAGCCCACGCGCCCTGCCAAGGACATGGCCAAAAACCTGACGCCACTCGATGGGCAGCGCCTCTCAGGGCTGGACTGTGGTCAGACCTGCAAGTGCAAGGCACCCCTGATCCCCATCTCCAAGGAGTCCCATCCGCTGTACAACCGCATCAGGACTGGGAAGGTACTCAACTGTGCCATCCCCTGCTACCAGCCCTACTTTACCCAGGATGAGAAGACCTTCGCTACCTTCTGGATCGGCCTCTGGTCCATCCTCTGCTTCCTCTCCACCTCAACAACTGTGGCCACCTTCCTCATTGACATGGAGCGCTTCAAGTACCCTGAGCGCCCCATCATCTTCCTCTCTGCCTGCTACCTCTTCGTCTCCTTGGGCTACATCGTGCGGCTGGTGGCAGGGCATGCCAATGTGGCTTGCAACCCGGAGCACCACCACATCCATTACGAGACCACAGGCCCTGCTCTCTGCACCGTGGTTTTCCTTCTCCTCTACTTCTTCGGCATGGCCAGCTCCATCTGGTGGGTCATCCTGTCCCTCACCTGGTTCCTGGCAGCTGGCATGAAGTGGGGCAATGAGGCCATTGCCAGCTATTCGCAGTACTTCCACCTGGCTGCCTGGCTCATCCCCAGTGCCAAATCCATTGCTGTACTGGCACTGAGCTCTGTGGACGGTGACCCAGTGGCTGGGGTTTGCTATGTGGGCAACCAGAGCCTGGAGAATCTGCGGGGCTTTGTGCTGGCTCCACTAGTGGTTTATCTCTTCACCGGCAGCCTCTTCCTGCTGGCTGGCTTCATCTCGCTCTTTCGCATCCGCAGCGTGATCAAGCAGGGCGGCACCAAAACTGACAAGCTGGAGAAGCTGATGATCCGCATCGGCATCTTCACCGTGCTTTACACCGTGCCTGCCACCATTGTCATCGCCTGCTACATCTACGAGCAGCACAACCGGGAGGCCTGGGAGCAGGCGCAGAACTGCTCCTGCCCGGGGGACGCTCACCGCCCCAAGCCTGACTATGCTGTCTTCATGCTCAAGTACTTCATGTGCCTTGTGGTGGGGATCACCTCTGGCGTTTGGATCTGGTCTGGCAAGACACTCGAGTCCTGGAGGCGCTTCAGCACCCGCTGCTGCCGGGCCAGGAAGCCCGTGGGCGCCTCTGTGTACGGTGAGGCCAGCCCAGCACTGGTGGGCAGGACGGTGCTGCCCAGTATGGCCTCCTACCACAAGCAGGTCCCACTGTCCCATGTGTGACCAGAGGGAGCCTCGGTGACCCCAGCCACAGCGAGGAGAGGGTTGAGAAGACCCTGGGCCACAGAAGACGGGGGTGACAGCTGGGCCACCCCTGGCATCTTCAGTCCCAACGTGGTGGTGCTGCCTGGGACCACGGGCACAGAGCATCTGCAGTGCCAGGCAGGGCAGGAAGAGGTGCTGCCAACTATGTGGAGGCAGAGGGACAGGGTGGTCTGGAGCCTGGCACTGCCATGTATGCCCCATTTGGGGTCCCACATCCTGGTTGGGGTCCTGGGATGCTGTTGCCTGTGGGCCAGTCAGGTGGCCGTCGGTCCTCAAGCACTGATTTGTGTCCCACAATGAGCCTCTGGGCAGGTCTTGCTGGTTCCAGGGTGAAAGGCAGAGCTGTAGCAGGCAGGGCAGATGGTGGCCCCCAACCTCAGGTGGGGGCTGGCACTGCCACTGAGCCCCTCATTAAAGCCCAGAGAGTGGGTCGGGGAGAGCTAGCAGGAGGTGCTGCTTCCCTGGGTGCCCTGGGCAGAGCAGACTGCCCTCAGTGCCCCCAGAGCCCCCAGGCACACCACATATTGAGGAGGAGAAGCCTGGGGGCCCTGGTGTGAGGCAGCCGCTGTCCCTGCTCAGGCAGCAGCACACTGAGCAGGAGGGGAGGAGCTGTGCAGGCCGGGGGCTTCATGGGTGGTGGCAGTGCAGGAGGAAGGGGCCGTGGAGAGCATGTGCCGCAGGGACAGGGTCCCAGCTGTCTGCAGGGCAGGCAGGGACCAGGTGACTCCCTGCGGTCCCTTCTGCCCTGGGCAAGCACATCTGGCTCCCTTCAGTCAGGAGCTCAGACCGGGCAGGAGCTGCCTGGGTGGGCTCAGCTGGGTGTCACCGGCTCCCTGCTCTGCTATGGAGCCACTCAGCCCGGGGGGCTGCACAAGGGGCCGTGCGGGCGGTGAGGCTGCCAGCCCAGCACGGGTTTGGCTCCGGACCGAGAGCGGGGCTCTCCTGTGCCCTGGGAAGGGCTCGCGCCCCTCGCCTCTGCATTGGGTGAGTTCCTCGGTCCCCCTGTCCCTTGTGGGTTACCTGGGGTGAGTGAGGCAGGCCCTGTGTCCTGCCCGGCAGCTGTGACATGTGGCACAGCAGCTGAGCGTGGCACAACCAGCCCTAAAAGGGTGATTTCACACCTGCAGTGAGCAGTGACTGCACGGGGGTGTCCCAGCCAGGTGGCAGGCTGTCTCTCCGGAGCAGCAGCCGGGTTTTCCAGTCAATCGGCTTCAATACTTGTTGCTGCTTTTCTCAAAGCTCTGCCTCAGCTAGAGAGAGTACCAGGTTTGAGAGGGAGCAGTTAATTTAGGAAAACTTAGCTGAGCACTCATATGTCTTTTCCTCCAACTTCCCAAGCCTTTTTCACTTCCCTGGATCAGACAGCAGCTGAGCACTGACAAAACCATTGCCTGGCATTAAGCAGTGGTGACAGCTGGGTTTCAGTAAGTAGAATAATGGTGGGGGGGCCCTGTTGTCAAAGTCACTAAATGCAGCCAGAGCAAGGGGCTCCAGCTGTGGCACGGAATGAGGCTGGCTGCCTCTGGCCACTTGTGAAAGCACCTGGGTTTTAATTTTTTTTTCCACCTGCCCTAAGCAGGTGATGTATGTAACTACCCAGCCATTACTAGAGTCCTTTTTGCCCTCCTTCAAGCGTGGCACTGTGACCCAGCTGCTCAAGCACTGGAGAACAACTGCTGGCTTTGCTCCTGCAGGACTGCAAGGATCTGAAATTGTTCTTAACACCTTTGGACCACTTCAGTTAAAAAGGTTTCCACCTCATTTTAAAACCAAAACATGGGAAGTGAGGGAATTCTGAAGGTCATCACCGGATAAAGGTACCGCATGGGTGTCTCTGGGGAGTCCTGGATAGAGGAGACAGAGATGCAAGGATGGAGGGCTCACCAGGGACTGTTCAGCTGTACCCATCTGCACTCTTGCAATAGGGCTCACCCCCTCCAGCATGTTGGAGTGCTTTATTGTGGACAGAATTGCACCATATTGTGTTACACACTGTAAATAGTTGTATTATAGCCTAATTTGTACATAAAGAAGCCGTAGTGACCTTTGATACAGGTTAGGGACAGGTGCCTCAGCAGTGAGGCAGGTCAGGCGCAGAGACACCGTGGGTAGTCTCGTGCTGTAATCCAGGGCATTAAATTATTCCAACCTCCTCCAGTCCACACCTTGCTGGACTCCTCTCTCCCTATAGTGCCTTTTGTAGATACAGCTAAACACACATCATGCAATACAATGAACAAAACCATGTCACAGGTGGTATTTTGCTGTTTTTGTTTTTTCCAAAGTGCAACTGACTGTGTAAAGAAATGCAAGACTAGCTACAAACCGTTGCCTATTGAAAAATGCAAGAGCATTTTCAGCTTTGATGTAATGGTAGGGTAATACAATCAACTCGTGTTTGAGCCTGGCTTCTCAGCAACAAGTGGCAGGAGGGGGGAAGGAGCCGTTGCCGTGTGCCCTGTCTGCTGTAGCCAATTTACATGTTGGGTTTTGCCTCTTCCGTTACCGATGCTGTTCAATGTTGCTTAAATAACTGTACTATATTATGTGAAAAGCTGAAGAAATTTTATTCAAAGAGAAGTATCAAGATTAGTTATTTATGAGGATAAAAAATAGTGTGTGTTGTTTTCTTCTGCTTCTGTTAGAGTGTTTATTACCTGAAAAGCTTACCTGTGGGGGGAGGGGGAGGCGTGTGCTGGAGGGCCAAGCAGGACTCTTATCGCTGGGGATCGTGGGGAACTGGTGAGGCAACTGCACTTGCGTGGCACAGGAATAGCATGTTCCGTGTGCACGAGCCCCACGCAGCGCTGGCCCTGGCACGGAGGATGCCACACATCCGTGCCCTCAGTGCCAGGCTCTGCCCTGGGCTGGGTTCTGTGCTCGGGGGCGGCCGCGCTGGCTGTGCCCGTGACCGCGCTGACAGCGACTTCCCTGACGGGCCAAGGTCACGCCTCGCTGCTAAAAGAGGGTTAACTATCAACTTTTATTGGCGTTCTGGTTTGCACAGTACATGTCCCTTGCCCTGTGCTGAGATCAGGCCCTGAGGAGCTGCCCTTTGATACTGCTACGGCCAAGCAGATGACAGCTCCTAGCCAAGCAGGATGCTGCACGCCGGCCCGTTTGGGTGGCCGTGTTTCCATCTGCCAGGAGCACTTGGGGAGGGACAGCAAGGGGTTAAGGCTGGCTCCGTGGTGACTAATGGTGCAGGACTCTGCTATCTAGTTAGGTGTGTAGGCACACACCAGGTCCCAGCAGATAGGATCTCTTACCTGGAAGCAGCATTCCAGCACCCAGTGATAAACCTGACAGTCCCAGGGCCTGACTCACCTGATTCTGCAGGGATCTGCCCCCCATGCTCAAGTACAGGCAAAGCACACCATTTGGGCTGATCCTATCGCTTGAAGGGCAGCAGTTTTGGGGTGTGGAAGGGACATGAACCGTTTCAGCATCAGGTTCTTCTCAGGGAGCTGTGGACACTCACTGCCGGCTCTGGGAAGTAACCCAAGCACCTCGCTGGCAGCCTTGTCATTCTTGCCTGCCAGGAAGCTGTTGTGTCCTCAGCTCCTCGGTAAACAGGAGCTTGGCAGCACTGCCATGCACCGCCTACCTCAAGCCACCGTTTCTGAGCAAGGGAAGGGTCTCTCCTGCAGGCAGTGTGTGAATCACCTGCAGGACTGTGTCCCCGTGAGCACACAGGTGATCCCACACAGCTGGCCTAATGCTTGTGCTCCTGTGCTCTCCAGGTTCCACTTGGTCAACTTAAGTCACCCTCGAGGCAGTCACTGGCTTCCCTAGGGCTGAATAGTGCAAATGCAGCACAAGTTCAGGCTGGGTGGCATGGGGAATGGCAGTGTCTGATGGCATGGGGACCATGTGGCTCTTCAAATAGGTTTTAATATTGATCAAAAGCCAAAGTGGATATTTCACCTAGAAAATGCCTTGTCTGTGAAGGCAGCCTGAGACTTGCCTAATGCTAAGACAAACAGGCCCATGCTCTGCCATTTAAGTGCTCTTTTGCCAGTCCATTGGGGGGTGGGTGTTAGTAAGGGCACTACAGTCACTTTGGCAGCACCCTGTAATTCACTCTATGCTGACAAACAACTTATTTGGTGCAAGGACAGTTTTCCCAGGTAATAATATGGAATATCAGGTGTGTCATAGTCCTGCACTATGGTGCTGTGGGAAATCCCAGGACAGGATGGGGGCTGCAGCCTGCCCAGTGCTGCGCTGTGAACAGAGCAGCTCACCCTGCCCTGAGCACTCCTGCCAACCTCCTGTGCAAGCTCTTGCCTCAATGGCTCTTCTGTCCAATTCTGCTTGCTCAGGGTATGCTTGACACTTATACTCTTATCCAGGAGCAGTGGTCTTGACATTTATTCCATCCCTCAAGTGCCTGTCCTCTTAACTGCCAAACCCAAACTGAAGTAGTTCTCATAAAATTCCCTTGGAAACAAAATACACAGTCCCTGTACACAAAGGGAAGGGGTAGGGTTGTAGCCCACTAACACCTCCATGCCCTCCTGCCCGTGCTGACTGCTAACACACCCTGCTCCTGCTGGTCTGGCTGGTGCTCACATCACTCTTGCTGGGCAATAACATAGCTATTGTCTCTGCAAACAGCATTTACTGCCAGATGGGGAGTGTTACCCTGGAACTGAAAGCAGGCAGAGGTCACCTCAACATAGATTAAATATTATTCAGCTATTGGATTAAGAAAAACAAGGTACACTGATCCCATAGCCAGTTGCTCTCCCCTGGGAGCAGAGATTGGTAACAGTCTCTGTAATTTCAGTATTCTTATCATGATTGTAATTTTTCTTTTGCCTCCTTGAGAAAAGTGTTGCCAGCATGTAGAGTAGTGCAAATTGGAGGGTATTTCCCCTTCACAGTTCATTGTCCAGCAGAACCACCTCTATGCAATTCCTTCTGAAACACTGCCCAGCACTTCAAAAGGGAGTTGTATGGTTTACTTTTTATTGTTTAGCTAAGAAATACACTAACTTTGTTTTCCAGAATCTAACTCTTTTAGGGGTACAAGAATGGTAAACAGAATTGCTATTTTTTTTCCTCAAGAAGCTGAGCTGGAGTTCAGGCCTGCTTAGTATCTGCTGAACAGATCAAAATCCCATTGACAGTGTGCTTTGGGCTACAGCAAAACTAAAGCCAGGTAATATTCAAATCAAAATTAGGTTCATAGTAGCTGCGTCCTGCAGGATGTATTGCAGAAGCAAGCTTGAGATGTCATTCACCTGCCATCCAGATCATCAGGAAGAGTCTCCATCTCATCTGGCAAAAAAGGGAAGCGAGTGGCCCCAGTCTCTGCTGAGCAGCTCACAGTGAGTGGCTGCTTTTGGAGCAGCCCCACAGCAGAGAGCACCAGACTGATTCCACACAGCTGAAGGCACCTGGCCGTGCTGAGGGAAGCAAAGCTCCTTAGCAATTAGGTCACAAGTCAATCCAGGAGCTGGTCACTTGTAGCTTCCAATTGAGTGCTCCTCAAGGGAGGACTTAAAAACCATCAAATCGCCTCCAGAGAGACTGGCCCTACTTAAAGCCCATTGAAGTGCAAAGAAACTGTCAGTGAGTGGTTTTAGTTGAGCAGCCCAAGGCAAGTTCTAAATCCAAAGAGCATGTGGGAAGATCTGGGCAGCCATGCAGGGCTGCACCCTTCCCAGGAGTCTGCTGCCTCCTCGCAGACACTGCCAGCCCATGGGGACCAAATGAAGGTGACAGGCTGGTGTGGGGAATGGAGAGGCCTTAACACACACCACTGCGGTTTCTCTCTCTTTTTTTTCCCCTCCTTTTTTGAGGGGCAGTGGAATCCAACAGCTGTACAGAACACACCCTTCACCTTTAACTTTAATTAAAATAGAGTTTATTAGCTTTTCTTTTAATACAAACATGAGAAAGGAAAACCACCTGAAGATGTAGTGTTATTTTCAGTATTGAATTGTGATCAATACCTGAAGTGCCAAGTCCCGTGGGTTTGGGAGCCAGGAGCTGGCACATTTGCATACTGCAAAAGGCTGTATGCATCCTCTGAACAGCTGAGTGCAGCCACACTGCTGGTGGCACTCACACAGCCCCACTCCCAAAGGCAGATGGACTTGTTGTTCAGTGTAAGTTTCTGGGCCTTGGCCGTAAGAGGAAGTGCACAAAACCCGTGTCATTTGGAAGGAGATTGCTCCTAGGACATTGCCTAGAACCTATCTGGATCCAAGAAAGGAAGATACTACAAAGACTTGTAACAGGAAGAGTCTACAATAATACTTATCCTGTTTAGAGTTCAGTTTCAGAGCTTGAAAGTAAGCTCTGTTCTAAAGTCTCAGAAAGAGCAAACCCCAAGCCTCTAGAGCAGTTGCACAAGATAAAATTCACTTTGGGAAAAAAAAAAAGGTTTATAGAAAGCTTTTTGATAATTCTCAGTTGAACACAATATTTTTCCATCTACCTTGATAGATAGTCCAGGATTCTCAAACTCATTATTGTCTCATTATGAATGTAACTTCCTCCCAGGAAACTGAAACCCAAGGAGAGCCAGATGGATGCACAATATCAGCTTTAGGAACTCACTGTATATAGCACAAGAGATCTGCAGTAGAACTCAGAGAAGCAGTGCTGCACACACGCCATTCACCACTGGATTGCTACACTGTTTGGGATGGTGATGATGTTTCCAGACCAACTTTTTCATTCAATGCCTCAGAAAAATACACAGATTACATCTCTTCCAGAGCAATATAAGTATTAGAAAATGAGAGAAGCACCATAATTCACAAGAAATGCAGCATGGACCCTATACATTTTAACAATACATAAAACCCTATCTCTGCCCCCAGTCAAAACATTCAAAGTCTTTTGACAATCTTTACTGGAGTGAAGTTGTGGGTGCAGAGATGGAATTCCTTCCTGCTGGGCAGCTTCTTGGTATGAACACATCACCAATAATAGCAGCTTTTAGTAGCCAAACCAGGGAAAAGCCATCAACACGTGTCTATGCTACTGTTTTCAGCTCCAGAGTGGCTTTATACTTTAAGAGTCCCATGTGTTGTTTTTGTTAACACTGCATTGACCTGAAATAGAAATGCAGTGAAGACTCTGGATGACAGGGGAGAGGAGGGAAGAACATTGTAACTATAGTCATGTGGTTAGTGTTTAAATTCTAAAATTTAAAACTACTTATTATTAAAAACCTCAAGAGTTCACAGCTATAGGCCTACATAGTAAGCAAACGTCTGTGGGGGAGAGAAGGAGATAAGTTTGTTTTTGCACCTCTGGATACATTAGAAGGAGGAGAGAGTTGGTTTGACAAAGGTCTTGTCTTTTGCACCAAGTGTGTTCCTCAAGCCCTGGGCTCCCTTGGCTGGCTGACTCTGGCTTGCCCTTGCTGGAAGACACCATCACCGCTGGCTGCGTGCAGGGAGTGGCGCATTCCTCCGGCTCCTGTGCATGCTGGTTCCTGGTGCTGCACCTTGCTCTCTCCTCAGGAGAGGATGGCATTGGAACGGCGGATACCAACTAAGTTATCAGCACTGAAAGATCGTCTCATAGCAGCTTTTGACAAGTCTTTGTATTTGTCTTCACACAGCCGGGAGATTGCCTGGACACCACAGACAGACACAAAATGGAAAGCCTGCATTAGGAAAGTTTGACCGCTCCAAGGGAGGTTTTACAAGTGCAATTCCAACAGCACAGGTGCTCTGCAGCAGTGACACTTCTGGCTTTTATCCCGAATGACAATAAATAAGGACTACTCTGGAGGGAAAATAGTAATGGGGTCTGTCCCCAAGTAAACACGAGCCATCAGAAGGGTAGACCAAAAGCAGATGAGTGGTTTCCACATGCAAGTATCTTCTTTATTTTACTAGTCTCACTATCTAATGAAAAACTTGGATCCATTGCAGACTTAAGTTTGTGTAAGTTACGTTGAAAATCACCCCAGTAGCTGGGTCTGGTGCACGCAGCAGCACAAAAATTTTATTTTAACAGTTCAGAAACACACATAGGTATTTCTCTGAGAGAAAAGGTTTCTGTGCTCCCTCGGGCATTGTACCCTTGGCCACTCAGGGCAAGCAAGCCAAGGAAATGAATTTCTATTAGGGTGTCTGTTTTGCCTTTACCTTCTCTACACCCTCACTCCCAACATATTCTTTCTTACCAGGATCACCCCCATGATCTGAGATGGGAGGGCAGCCATGGTACTTTATTATAGCAATTAAATATTAGCACGTGTAGACAATCTGGTGTTAAATTGCTTTTTCATCCATTTATTGGCTTGCCTTTGCCCTGCTTATCTAGCTATTCTAGTAACAAGCCTAATTATTTAAATTCTAATAACACAATTGTCAAAAAAAATACTGTGTCTCCTCCCCTGCAAGGCCTGTTTCTGATTGGAGCCTTCAGGCATTATCAATGCAAATTAATAAGGATACCTGTAATAAAAAAGTCAAACTGAATTTCAGCCCTGAACATTTACTTCCATTAATAATTTACCACCTATCACCAGATGAACTTTCAGAGTCCTGTGATCAGCCACAAGCCTACACCTTCCCTTTAAGGCAGCACCCATTCAGCACAGCCCAGTGTTCTGCAAGTTCAAAAGGTGAACAGCACTCTGAGCATGAATAAAGTTCTAAGTGTATTTTAAAATAATTATTTACATTTATTTCTGCCGACCTTCTGGAGGCATGCATTTGGCTCAAGAGTGGCATTCTTTGAGACACTGGCGGCATGAGCTCCTGGTGCAAGACCAGACAGACTCTCCATCCTGCTTTAATGCTAGCACATCAATCACACAGCAACCTGTGTTGACATATATTTAGCCCCAGTTGCCCATATGGTGTAAATCAGTTTTCAGTTTCTGGAATTCACTAATTCATTGCTTTATACAGGCTCCTATCAGCTGCTTATATGCTTCTAACGAAAAAGTAGAATTAAAAATTTTAGCAAATAGTCTAAATATTTATCACATTTTAGAATTAAACCCCAAAATGTCCAATATACATGCATTAGTAAGTGCATGATAGCAAATTACATAGTGGTCTGAAAATTACTCTGGTTTTAAATACCAAGCCCCCAAATACTAAGAAAGAAGAAACAAAACAGGCTCACAATCTGTAAATCATCCACTTATGCCCTGGCACTGAGCAGTTCAGTAAACAATTTCCTGTGGACTATGAACTGCCCTACAACCACATTTACAATTAGTGACAGTGTTAGCTTAAAGTGCAAGTAACAAGGGTGAGACAAAGCAGAAGAGCTGCATTGCTTAACTTTAAATAGAGGAATTCATAGGCATATCATACTTCTCATTCCAAAGGACGAGGAGGGATCCCACTTACTCCTGAAGTTCAGGCACTTATGGGACAAAACAAAATCCCTGGCCCCTGGCAGAATTATTGGGGGTGGACAATGGAACAATATAAGCCAAGAATCTGCAGCACACCCCTCTCTGAAAGGGACTGTGGTATCAGTGTGTACAGGGCCTGTGGTAATGCTTTTGTTGAAAGGTCAACAGAACAACATGCAGAGTCATCAATTAAACCTGGACAGATGAAAGGTTGCATTGATCCAACAAGAAATTTCCCTGGAACCCAGGTAATTTGTATATTTTCAAAATGTCTTACGTATCTCCAGCAACTTGACTCTGTGGAAGTTAAAGCTTTTCAAAATGAGCCTTCGCGCCAAGAAGGCTGCGGGGCCTCCCCACGAGGGCAGCCTCTGGGGGACAGTAACCTGTGCTTACACTCCTCTGGGCATTCTGAAGGGCTCCCAACAAGGGGCTATTCCAAAAGTTTATCTTAAAGCAACGTTTCTCTGTAAAGGTGGGAAGCCACAACTTATTTCTGCAGCTGCCCCCAGACAAATTGTTTCTTAAACCATGAGAGCAGTAAGAGCGCTCCCGCTAAATCTAAAAGCGGCTGTGCAGTGGGATGCAGTGGGAAACCTTCAGCTGGTAGTATTTAGAAGGGTCTGAGTGTGACTGTCTCTAGGTGCTTGGAATACAGACTGTGACCAAGCAAGGAAAGACAATCCATTACATATGACACTAATCCTTTCAATCTTAAGTAGCCTAGCTGAACTACGGTTCCCAAAATAACATCCATTTTATTTTGCTATCTGCCAGACTTTTGTAATCTCTTCCAAAACCCTTCCTTTCCTCAGAATTCTAGCTTAGCCTATGCATGGTTTTAGAAGTGCTAACTGTATTTATAAAAGGGTTAAATTACCCTGTAATACGCTAATCTAAAAGCTTTTTAGTTTTTCTAACTGCCACTTAACATGATTAGCAACAGATGCTCTTACTACTCATACAAGAGAGAGGAGTCCCCTGCTCACCCACTCTCAGACCATTTACCTCCAGCTTCTGTGCTCTCTCTTTACTGAGAGGCTCCAGCAGAAAGCTCAGGTTATTGTCATCTGCTAGGGAGCGAAGATCAAAGTAGTATTTGGCGTAAACACTGGCAGGAACATTGATATTAAACTGCAGTAGCTCCAAGAAGTGTCTTTCCATCTCGTTCCTAGGAGGCATAAGGGACAGGAGACAAAGGAAAAAAAAGATTGTTTTAGCTGGCTGAAAACACTGAAGAGACCTCAAGCTTGTTTTAAACCCAGCAACTTTGAAACAGGTCACCGAGAGCTCTGCATTATTAGTTTCGAGAGACAGGTCATTCCCTGGTGCTCAAAACAAGGTGCAGCTTTTGAGGCCGGGCACCTCCGGCTCGGCTCGGAAGGCAGTGCCCTGTCGCGCACTCGCTCGGCTGAGCGGGGAGGGTCATTCTTCGGAGTTCCATTAGTGCAGCTGTACAATTCATGCGCCATTCTCACTCTCATACGGCCCCACACTATAGTGATCAGATGAAAGGAATGATGTATGCTGTTTATTAGCTCTGAAGAACTTGCAGGCATTTTCACCAGGCTGATAACAGGAAGGGGGTTTATTGAAGCAGAGGCGGACTAACAAAAGGAGTAGGCAGATCACCACGGCAACAAATGGATCTATGAAGAGCTGCTGCTATTATCTCACAGAAAAAAGCCTCTTGAAGCAACATGGATTCATCTCCAATAAATAAATAAATAAGCAGCATTAGGTGGGAGAAGGAATTTTCTCCTCAATAGCATTAGGCAGGATAACAAAGTACTATGTCAAAGGGCACTGTCCAGTTTTTACTCTTGTCTGTTTTCACTGGGCAAAATACTCGGAGGAAAGTGTGGAGAGTGCCATGACATGAAAAAAACTGCTTCAGCTACTGTAATGTGGTCAGCTAAAGCAGAGATGTTCTACAGAGGAAAACCAATGTTTTACAAATTAACCTAAAAAGAAACCGGTGGTACTCAAACCCAGCAATTCAGTTCAACAACAACTCAACAACAGCCCCTGCAGGTAGCAAATCTGTTCCAACAGAATTTAGCAGCTGTACAGGCCAACTGCAAATACACCAGAGGATGAGTTGCACAAAGTCAGTGCCAAGGTTGTTACTGCTTTTTTGGGAGCTTTTAAAATGGATGCTTTACTGATCAGTGCAGGGGCAAATAAATCAAGGAATCATCTGTGTTGTCCTGTATTGGGTGGTGGATCTCAATATGAATAGCAGCTTTGTGTTTCTTCCTAGCATAGCAGACTTGAGTATCATTGAACCTAGTGCCAAAATTAATTTCCTGTTCATTTGGTCATAAGCTATAGAAATGTAAATCAGATAATGTTTTGATGATCAGCTGATCAGAGCTTGATTTACCCTGTGAGTAAATGCTCTTCACTGCCCCTTTTGTATTCACTAGGCTAATACATTTTAATTCTGTAAAAATTCAATTCTTCATTGGATTAACAAGTCTATTAACAGTGGTTTAAAACCTGGGAAAGGATAATGCCCATGTTTTTTCTGTGCCTTATTTACAAATACATGTAGCCTAAAGAATGAACAGCATGTGTCCCCTTACAAACAATCATGGCAAGATTAGCAGCTGTACTGTTAATTTTTCAGCAATTATGGATTCGGTCTCATCAAAGCTAGCAAGTTCTGACAAAGGATGACTTCCAAATGTCAACTGAATTTCCTTTGATTTTTCTTTCCCATTAGAAATAAGTAAAACAAACAAAAAAACTATCCCCCAAAACCCGAAAGAAAAATGTCTTTCATTGTAAAATCCCACCTTTGCCTTGGGCAAACAGAAAAGGGCTTGTGATAGAAAAATTAAGATAAACACTTCAGCTATGTTGAGTAGGATGAGGCAAAGGCAAATGATCACATGTGGCTGTTGCCAGGCCTGGATCTTGTATCCCTTCAGAACCTGAGAGCCCCCAGCTCCTAAAAAATCCCAAAGCTGTTGGGGGCACTGCCAGCACAACTCCGAGCAGCAAGGGGAGAGTTTGGTGGGGAGGAGGTGCTTCACAAGGGCTGCCTGGCAAGAGATATGCAAACTGGTGAACTAAATCAGATCTAAAACCTTCTGCCAGTTCCAGAGTGGTGCAGCCCCTGTGCTTGGCTTGCAGTGGGTCAACAAGAGCATCTGTCAGGTTAGTGAGGTCATTCTAGATACAGAGAGCCAAGAGGAGAGTTCAGAGGAGCCCATAAACCAAACCTGCCACCAGTTCCTGTAGATGGGCTGTTCCTGCACAAGGATGGCCCACCCAGGTAGTGACACCTGGTAGAGTCCTGCCAAGCTGTCTTTAGCTGCAGAGCTGCTGGGATTTTGGGTGGATTTTTTGGCAGCATCACCAGCCATCTCCAACATCAGAATGCAACTGCGACTAAAATCCTTTGCCAATTATTTTCTCTCACTAACTCTTGTATTTGGAATACTCATTATCAAATGACTGGTTTAAAAATACTGCAACTGCTAAAACTCACAGTAACTATGTACCAACCATGAATTGTAAGTAGGCTTGTAAACTTAAAACAACTTTGCCAAGTATTTGAAGCAGTTTTCCAAGGTCTCTATAATGGTGATGTTATCCAGCCAAGGAGTGGTGAAGTCTGCCCAGCTGCAGAGCCTGGGATGAACATCCTGTGCCACTGTAAGGAAGGGGATAGTACAGTGTCTGCCCATACCTAAATTCAAAGGTCTAAATAATCTCAAATGAGATGGGATTACAAAAATCCCATCCTCAAATTGGAGGGGGAAAAAAAGCCTAAATTCCATCTATTTTCCTTACCACCATTACTGCTTTGAAAATGCAAGTACTGACAATTTCAAGAGACCCAGCATTGGCAATAGAGCATTAATATCCTGCTTGTTAAAGATATTTTCTGTGCTATCAATTTGATTCGTCCCAAATAGGGCTAGAAGAAGAGACATCAAAAAGAGCAAGATGTACACTCCAGCACTTCTGGCTTTGCTGACCCCACTTCAGCCATCTCAGAGTTACTTGCAGCAATGCTTAAAGCATGTTCCTCAGATAGATGAGTGCTCGGGGCCAGGCTAAGTGGAGATGTACATTGTATAAAATCACTAATTGTGCTTTCCTGAAAGAAGGGCTGGCAGTGTCCTGCATTTTGAGACAAAGAACTCCCAGGCAAGGGGTATGTATAAAACAAGTGACAGTGGTTGCTGTCTGAGATGTGAATTAATTTGAATAATAAAAATTATTTTGGTGCAGAAAACTCCCTCATTTTTAGAAATACAGTCCCCTACCTAAAAGGAAGAAAACTAGATATTCCTCTTCCTAAAGAGTCTCAAATGAATAATTACTTACTGTATTTGAAACATTAGTTTGGGCTGAATCCAGGGAAGAAAGCTTGGGGCAAGAACACTGCCCCATGACACAGGCAGCCTCCCAGTGCTGTGTGCAGAGCTCTGCCAGCTCAGTCTGCTCCTGTGCTAGAAGTGGCTGCCACTGCACAGCCCTGGACACATGCTCAGGGCAAGCACTGTGATTAACTCACATACAAAGCATCTCATGAAAGCAAGGCTAGAAAGCCTGGTGTTTCAAGCTGGACTTGTATAATTTCTACCTGTGATAGGAGAACAAGCTAGCAAACAGAATTAAAACAAAAATAATGACATTTTAAAGCTCTGAGATAGAACTTTGTGGGAAGGAATTTAACAGAAAACCTAATGGGCCAACTACAGTTCACATAAACACACCTCCAGCCCAGAGTATGAGCCTGGAGCCATGAGGAAGAATATCTTCCCATACTGCAGAATCTGCCTTAAAGCTGAGTGCAGCAAGAAAAGACAGCAGATTCAAAATTTCTGGAAAACTGAAATGGACATCTAAGTCAAAAATACATCTAAGGAACAGCCTTACAAAACAAGCAGTAATAAGACTGAGGACTTTGTTTTCAGCACTGTAAGCACATCAAAGAACCTACCCAGAGAGGATAAACTGCAGCAGTGGCTGTGAGTAACACAGGCAACCACAGCTACCCATAGAAACACCTGCTGGCCAGCAGCAGCACTAGAGTTCAGACTTGAGATGTTTAGGCCTTAACTGGATACACAAGCACACATGAAAGTCCCAGGTTATGGTTTACCTTGCAATTCTGCAAATTCTAAAACAGAAAAGGCAGGGGACAAATTTAGTTCACTTTTTTTTTCCTTCTAAAAAACCTTCTGATAAGACTATAAATTGGGCAGTTTAGTTCCATGGCTCATCACTGAGATTAAGAACTAACTTCGAAGTCACTCACGCAAGTCATTAAAATTATTAATGGAGACTTGTCTCAATGTAGGGTAATTATCCACAGTTTCTTCAGGTAGAAAAGAGAATGAGGCCAGACACTAAATATACACCTTATATATATATATATATATATCATAGCAACAGAGAGATTTTTTTCAGCATGATCACGTGCTATTTGAAAAACCATAAATAAACAACAACAAAAAAATCACATACAACAAAACCCCAAAAACCCCACCACTGTAGACTACCCAAACCTTGCAACTTACATGTCCTCAACAGTAATGTCCTTCAGTATTTGGCAATAATCCACATTCCACACAGCTTGATCATCCCAGACTTTAGAAGCCAGCAGAATAGCTCCAAGGACTATCCTCTTCCAGTTACTAGGGCATATGTCAATCTCTGCATAGGTTAAAAGCCTTTCCAAATAAACCTATACAAAGAAGAAGGGAAAATAACCAAACAACAAAACCCCACAATGATATGTGTGTAATTAAGACCTGGAGCAGAGCTGAGCAGCAAACATGCCAGTCCAATAGGATTATTTATTACTGTTAAGTGTGTCAACAAAGTATCAGTGATTATTATTTACACTTAAGAATCAAAATTTTCAGGAGCTACAGGTTCCATTTTTTATTTTCTCCCAAGAGCTGGAGCACCAGGGTACACAATAGGTAGTGAGGTGAGAGTTCTGAGCAACGAGCACTGCTCCTTCAGGAGACACTGCCACAGCTCTGTCACCCAGCCACAAGCACCGGCAGGTTCTCATTAGGGCCCACCTGGACAGCAGATCCCATCACATTAGCCTTTCATCCTGGTTAAGGTTCAGCACTTGTAGCTTAACAGGAAGTGCTAAAACCTGCATTTGATCTCTAGTGATGGGACAAAGATGTGTTAATCGCTGTCTTTCCACAGTGAAAGGCCTTTAGTGCTATTTCTGTCTCACTCTCTATAGAACAGACTTCAATCCCTTCATTTCCATCACCCACTGCTTAGGCAGTGAGACATGCCCAAGTCCAAAAGTGTGCCATGGTCTTTTCCTCCCATGAGACCTCAAACCAACTCCAGGATGTTGAATCTCTCTCTTCCTTGAAAGTTCTCTACTATTCACACTCCTATAATGATCCATGTAATAAGAAATATGCACTTTCAAATTTGAATAGAAATTGTTTTTAATTTTATATTCCCTCATCCAAATCCAAATTTCTAATGTATCTTCAAATAAATTAGTGGGTAAGGGAAACTTGACCTATTAAGGTCTAAGGGAAGGATTAATCTTTGTCACTGAGTTCTCTCCATGCTTTCTTCCCATCCTTGGCTTGTAGCCTTCAAATAGCCCAAAGGTGTTCCTATAATAACAGGGCCATCTAGCGGTAAAATTCACTTTAAAAAGTAACTCCATTTTTTGTAAACACTTCCCATAGTTTGCCCTGGGTTACCTGTCATCTTGTTCTGTCAAAATTGTTTGCCTGTCTTTGAAAAATCAAAACCTCCAACTACTTTCAGAGTTTCAACAGCTTGTAAATGTTCAGCTTTTTTAATTACTCATTTTCTTATTAAAGAGAGTCCTTCAAGCTAAGTTTGCTTAATTGCTATACTGTCTTTTTGGTGACAGTTCTGTTCTTTCACACTGTTTTTCAGAAAGAAGCCACAATGAAGACTGAAGTTTAGTGTGCAACAAAGTGCAGTTTGACAAACAGTCTGAAGTAGCAATTATACACGCTGTGATATTTAAATTTCCTTTCATATACATAATATGCACACACACACAAATACATATATGTAAATAAAAAATCATTGTCATTGATAAATTTTTTAATCCATCATGCTTGCTGAAATCAAACAAAGAACTGTAATGAGATTATGATCTTAATATTTTTCTTAAATTCTAAGCACCTCCATCTTACCTGGGGAAAAAAGTTATAGCCTCTTCAGCTTGATTGAAAAAAAAAGTTTGGTAGAAAAGTGGCAATGATTGAAGGAGATAATAATGAGAAAGATCCTCTCCTAGAGTTCCTATAGGATTGACTCTTGGTCTCTTGAGACAGTTGTGGTTAATATGAACTCAAAACTAACACCCTCCCTTGCACGTAGCTGAAATAAAAAATGTCTTTGTGCATGATCTAAGCACACCCCACTGTTTACAGCATCCCACTGTTCTGCTCTTCTCAAGCTTCTCCAGCGAGTTATGTATAATGAAACAAACAAGGTTTTATTGGGCAAGTAATTAAGCATTACATATTTATATACAGAAAAGGGAATTGCCCTTTTTTTAATCACTTCTGTGACTGCTTAGAAATCTATAATGAACTCACTTGTACTGTGCCTTCATTAATAGGGTTTCATGAGATACTCTTAACTATTTAAATGCCAGTTCAGCCCAGATCTCTTAACGAGGAGAGGGAAAGTGCTCCAAAGGCTGGAGCTGCCCTTACCAGTGTGACTATTGCACATTCGGCTGTCAGCTGCGCTGCGCTGAAGAGCGTCCGCACAAACCGGTAGATGTGCTTGTGGTCAGGGTCGTGCTTGTAGTAGTCATCTGGGACTTCCTCCCGCTGAAACAAAGTTCTTGGAATTACTGAAAAGCTGTCTACTTAACACTGACTCTAAAGCACAGGTTGTTTCTTCTCACTGAGGTGTATACACCCATTTCCTGTCACAGAGGCAGAACAGAATTACACCCTGAAAGAAGCAGCCTTGCAATGCTGCAAACATTCCGAACAAAACACAGTAGCTTTAGCTGGTATCTCTCTTCTGAACACTTGTTTGATCTGTAGGGCCAACAGGAAAGAGCATGAACCACTATCATCACTGCTAGGTGCTAACTACTGTCCATGGAACATTCTTCAGACTGAAAGAGACGTAAAAAAAAAAGCTTCTCCCTGCAAGAAAATCACAGGTATATACACACCAGAGAAACAATGGCTCTTCAAAAGCCAAAATAAACAGACTTCATGAGATTCCTCTTCCAGCTGAGGAAGTGCTGAAGAACACATGGCAATAATTCTGTCACAGGTAGAACTAGAAGGTAATTTACACTGTCTTCATAGGACTCATTCTTGAGGGACTCCAGAAAGACAACAAAGCTAATGAACTGTAAGACTTAACTGTGACACTAAACACAGTGCTAAACTGTTTCTAAACACAGGGGAGAAGAAAAGCTCAGAAATAAACAGTCTGCAAAAGCAATCCTAAAGTAAGTGTTTGATACGTTCTGATATTTAGCACTTTTTCTGGAGGGATGAAACTTCAAGAGCTCCAACTCTGCACACTGGTTCTGCAAGACTGAACAGATTTCTGTCTACAGTCCAAGTCAGACCTACAGCATGGTCAGGACAGCAGCTGAGAACAGCGTACCTGCTTGATACGAGCCTAGTAGTTGTAAGGTAAGCAAAGCAGCGTTTTCCTGTGGTTTTGTAGTTTAAAATAGCCAGGGAGCATTGTCAAGTAAAATGCAGAGGTAAGTTAACTTAGTACTGCCCACACAGCCTTCTAATACACCACTAACCAACAGAGGTTACTCTGCAAGGGGGACATGCAGCATCAGGAACAGCATGAGCTCATTCCTGTGCTACACATGGTACAAAAGCACATCTGGAAGTACATTTTTGCTGAATGGATGTGCTGAGGTAACCCAAAATGGTATTGTATTCCTCATCTGTCTGTGCCCAAAACCTGTCACTGTCTCTAGGACCCTGCTGTGGGAAGCTGGGGATGGGTGGGTGCTTTTAAACTTGGCTCTGAAGGCAGCTGGGCCCTGCTGCTGTGTGGTCTTGGCTTTCCCGGCTTCTTGGTCTTGCCTTGAGCACAAGATTTGCCCATTTTGGGTTCTCTTTTTGGTGTTTTTTTTCCCTGGTCTCAGAGAGACTGCTGTTAGTGGCTTTCTCATCTTGGGAAGGGTATTTCTGGCATTTTGGGGCTCTCCTTGGTCCCCCAGGATGTGAGATTCAGCAGTTTGGTATTTAGCAGCTATTTACTGTTAGATTTTGCCTGTTGCTGTTTTGTTTGTCAGTAAACTGGCTTTTTTCACTTACATCTACTTGTGTTCATTCCTTATTGGTGGAAAGGGATTGGTTGAACCTATATAAGGAGGCAACTTATTCCAGAATGTTCTCCTTTTAAATTGTCTTAAATCAAGACACTGGAGGTGAGAAAGGAAGCACCAAGACTGTATTTGTGACTAAATCCATGATGCCGGTACCTGGGTCCCATCAGGGCCAACAGAGCCGGGTTTGGACTCCTTGTGACCGCATCTTTAGAAGACAAGGTGTTCAGAGATTTCTTCCTGCTGATTAACCTTTCTGAAGGAACAGTAGGTACCCAGGCAAAACACCACTGCTATAGAAACGAAGAAGCCATGTGTGCCTTTCCCTCAGAAGTGTGAAATCAGCCCTAACTCTGTTTCTGTCTGTATGCTGCAGTGAGATAGAAGAGACCTTTACGTGTTCCCCAGAGGACACAATGATTTTCTTCTCATTAAACAGGAGGGAGGCTGCATGAAAGGATCAAAGGATGCCAGGTTGTTACATAAAGAAATTGTCTGATGGAGTTCATCTTACATAAATAATTTTGAATGGGAAACAACAGATTCAGGCATTTAAAATTGTGGAAGAGGTTTTACAGCAACTTCTCTGAGCAAGAGAGAAGTTTGATAAGAGGATCCATGTTTATCCCTGGAAGAATTTCCTACCAAGGTTGTTGACACAGAAACCAAGAAAGAGAGAAGGATAAGTAAGAGAAACCTGCAACTTTCTATTCCAATAAGCACTTTGTCTCTTCTGACCAATGAGTGAAGTGTAAACTTAGGAGTTTTTAAAGAATATATAAAAAGCATGCATGCTAGAATAAAAAAGGATTTGAAGCCTTTGGAAAATGGAGTGTTGCTTTGCATTGAGACCATCTCAGCCACAACATAAAATAGTTTTGGCCTGCCCTTTTTGCTCCTAAGTGCTACAATCCATACAAGAAATCTTGAATATAGCTCTTGTCCTAAATTTTTGGTTTTTTTTAATTGAGAAAAAAGTTGTATTTATTTATATTGCACTGCACAATTCCTAGCACAATTGGTCATATTTAGGGATGAAACTTTAGCAAACTTAAAATATTAACTTGTTTATTAAAATCTGTTTATTACCAACTGAGATCCACGGAACGGGTTATACTGCATTCAGTCAGGTAGGTCCCAGAGCAAATTCAATTTTTAAAGCTGCTGGATCTTTGCTAAATTGATTTCACATGAAAAACAAAGTAAGTGGTTCTGTAGGACAGGCATTAAGCTAGGAGTGCTCAAACTGGATGTGAAAAGCACACACTCCACTCTTGAGCTTCCCTGTACTATGAGTTTTGCATCTTTAAGGGTGTCTAAAAAGGTGTACCACGCCCAGTCACATTAAAATCACATCCTGAATGCTCCTTGCTGTTACTGCAAGCAGTCTCATGCATATTTGCCTTAAAATGTTGCCTTTCCAGTGTTTTAAAGGCCAAACTCACTGCTGCCTACTCTGTGTGATGCTTCATGTATTATATTCTCCTGTCTGCAGTCATTTAAAAGGTTAGGCACATACCTACTAACCATGTCTTCCTAAAGAAACAGAAAACACTTCTAATAAAGCAGTTATTAAAGAGGGGGAGAAAAGAGACTGGCAAGAAACTTCAGACATGGAATACCAAAGAATTGGGCACATGATTGTTTCTATTTATAGTCAAAGCATAAAAATCAAACATAGTTTGTAACATTTAGACTGGGCTCTATTCCTGATCTAGCTGATCTCAAAAGTCCCTGTTTGTGTTATATATAAAGACACAATTTAAGATCAATTTGATTGTGGCCTTGTGCTAATACATTTTTATGACTTATAAACCAGTATGTTACTGATATACACTCAGAGAACAAAAAATTACTTACTGTGAGAGGGTGAGATTTTTCATCAAAAATATCCAATGATCTGTCAGAATCTCTACAAAACAAAAGTCATTGGTTTAGCAATAAGACTTAATTGGTAATACTGTGCTCTACTAAAAATCATTGTTCATTAAAAAGGATTAAGGATTTTATAGTTCAGCTTTTCCTAGAAAATGGTATGGAGCTACCTTGTATTTTTGCAAAACATTTAATGATGAGTCCTTACTACTAAATATTTAAGATGCTAAACAATGAATAGCTTTCCATGTTCTTGTATTATGCCTACTGAAGTTCTCCCCAAAATGTGAAACTAGGTGAAACTCATCAACAGCATTACCTCAAAAGGTCAGCTGTAATTCAGAAGCATATGCTGGAACTAGCTGTAATGGCAAGAGTGACTTGTACATGGACAGAGTGTTCCTTCACCCTTCAAAACTAATCCATACCCCTGTACTCAGGAAAAGTTGAACAAAGTCCAAAGGCTGATTTGTGGTGAGTTAAGCATGTTTTCCTCCCGCTCTGTTTTGGAGTTGTATGTGCCATTGGATGGGTGCATTACTGACCCTTCCACAGCTGCTCAAGAGGGGTACAAAGAGAAAACACATACAGCATACAGTGCCAGATTTTCAGCTCTTTTAAGTTTCACCAGCTGTCACTGAAGTGACCAAGACCACATCTGACTCTATGATCTTGAGAGTTTTTTTTCTAGTCTTAGTGATTCTATGATTTTATATCCCTAGTTCCAAAAGAAAGTCATTATATTTCAGCAAAGGAAGAGTTCACTCACCTGTTCTTTATATGGTAGAATATTGCTAATGTTACACTAAAAAAAAAAAAGAAAATAAAAAAAAGATTTAACAAAGCATTTTCCATGCACACTATTCCATTGCAAAAGCTGTCATTCAGTGGAATGTTACAAATCCATTTTGCAGTGACCTCCTCTCCCATCCCCAAGCACTACACATCTCATTTCTGATGTCTAACTGTCTGAACAGAATCTGGCCAAATCAGATCTGCCTGCCAAACTACTTTTACATTCATTGCACAGATATTTGTGCAACAAAATAAGTGTTAAGTGACATTTTCAACATATACCTTCATTTCCTGATTAGGTGATATTTAGTGAAAATGTAGACTAATTCCCAACTGAAATGTAAGTTCTTGCTGTTACATATCCCATCGCAGAGATTCTGCAGATGTTTTAACCCTGTCTAGTTGCCTAATTTAGGAACTGTCTAAGAAAGAGAATAATAAAGATGGCACTATACCAGCATAATCCAAGAAGTGGACAAGAACAGTTTTTAGTCTCTGCTAAGTGAGGCAACAGGTTTCATACATTAACATTCGTCTACTGTGGCAAATTATTCATGGTGCTAACAGGATAACTGACATCATGGGAACCTATCACGAGAAGTTCTGATCTGCTGTCAGCTGTACAAAATGTGCACTGTCACTTCAAATGGGCACAAGCATTATTTTTTTAGGCTATTGTTTTTTTTTTCTCTAGAAAAGGAGAAGTGACATGCTGCATACCTTTGTGTGAAACCAAATTTTAAAGTAACAAATCAATGCAGACATTTCCAAACTCTACTACACTATTAAATCAGTAAAGCCTTCTGGGCCTCAATCTACTTGATAAAACTCTCTTCTCAATTCTCAGCTGGTATCATGTAAGTGCAAATAATTGACTTTCTGGTACCCAGAAAAATAGTTCCAGCAGCCATTTACATTGGAGAACATAAGTATCACCTACCTAAAATAACAAGTACGTGAAGAAAAGGCAGAAAGGCCAGAACTAAACCCTAAGTCAGCAACATGCTGGTTTTCCACAACTAGAGGGCAGACTAATATCACTGGAAAGTATCAAACACAGCCCTACAAGTTTTCCTGCAACTCCACACAAAATCCATTTCCAATTTTCCCAGGTCAAGAATTTCTTGATTTGGCTTTCAGTGTGACCTAAACTCCCCTCTCAACACATACTTTCAAGCCCACAGTGCTGACACACCTCTGCACTGCCTCGAGTGCAGGATGAGAACGACTTTGCAAGAGAGTCCACGAGCTCTGTGAGGGAAACAAGAGCTCCCTCCAGCAGTCAATTACCCAGAGCTCTACACCCCTTCCATGACCAACCTGCAGAAGCAGTGCTGTGCTTCTCCCATTCAAGAGTGCAGTTGGCCTCGGGACAGACAAGACGCCCAGAAAATCCCAAATAACCCTTACAATGCCACCCTTACAAGCCCTCGTTGGTGACAAGGGTCCTTACCACTTTATTGTGCTTCTAAGGTTAGGCTGACTGACGGTGCTGTCATCTATAAATATTGTTGAGCATGAGCTGTATTTTTTCGTAAGCTGCCCAGGAGAAACCTTGGGGGAGAAAAAAAAGAAAAAAAAAAGAAAAAAGAACTGAAATACATTCAAGAACATTGTTTAGCACGCTGAATACTGGCTTTACACCTCCAGTGGTTGCTGCTGCAGCGTAAGCTATCCTGCAGCCATCTAGTTCCTTTGTGTAAGATAAATTTATAAACCATCCCTTGTAATACACAACATGATTTTAGCTAACTAACAGTAGAAATAGCTGAGCCAAAGCATCAAGTCCTGATTTTCTCAGTTCTCTCCTATTCCATTCTTGTCAGTTTGTGTCCCAGTCTGCTCTCTGTGATGTACTCTATTAGATTTCCCTGTGACTCCATAATCACCTTCTCCCTTCTTTTACACCCTACACCTTTACAGTTTCTGGTTATCCAGTTTAACATTTGGGGGTTTGTCATGTCTTTCAAAAGAAAGAAACCTTTTCCTGACATGGCTCACTTCACACATGTCCTGTTTAGCATCTGGAATCTGGAAGCAGAGTACTGCTATTACCCTTACTTTTACTATTACTATTTAGAGCTACCAATATGCTCCATCATCCATCCTAACTCTGTCCATTCTGTACTGTAAGAAACCTTCCAATATAACCCTACCCAGGCTTCCCTGAGCACATTCAGAGAATGCCTTGCACTAGAGATAGGACATCGGAATTGAGGGAGGAATTTCAATCAAACAATTCAAGATTCATTAGTTTTCACCAGAATTTTTTAAATGCCTTGTCTAAAACTTTGAAGTCTACAATATGAAAATGCTGACACCCTTCAAAACTAACTTCCATTCTTACTTTTACTAGACAATGATTTTTTTTTTATCCACCTATTAATGACATTGCATCTTTTTTGGTTTGGCTGGTTTTTTTTGGTAAGTGAAGTGTCCAAACTAACTAATATTTGTGGAAGAAGCTCAGAGCATATTTTCAGATTTTAAAACTAATGGAGTATCACTTGGTTATCATACTGATGTTATTTGTTCCTTATTCTCTTTTCACACTGGATACACTTTTTAAAATAAGCCCTGTAGCAAGACTCAATCAGCAAGCCATTTAAGACCTGCCATCTTGGCTGAGAAATTAATGCAGTTTTATTTTTTGTTTCAAAAAATACAGACAGGTTGGCTTATATTTTCTTTCTTACTGTTCTGAAATATTTAAAACTGACAACAACAAAAAAAATTTATTCTTTTGACATCAGCCATTCTATGCTTTGTGATATTGGATATTATTGCTTAGAGACAGGCAAAGTTAATTCAGTTTTACCCTTCCAAGGAAGACTTGGAACATGTGTAAGACTATGTACCTAGAACTACTACAGTTGTTTCCTTGAATTTTTGTCCCAATATCCTAATATTATTTACATAAAATCCAGTTTACTTACATGATTTATATGGTTACTCTTCCTCTTCTCTCGCACTAGAAAAAAGGAAAAATAATGTGAACTGAAAGGTTTCCCAATTTACATTCAATAAAGTAATTCTATTAACCTAGTTTTCTAAAGTATGGGAGTATTAAAAGTTTCAAATTTTATTTTAGGTGTCTGGGAAAGTAGTTTGAGGAAAAAATACCATGTTTTATCAAAAGTTTTATCTAGTAAGACATACTCCTGTCTACCCACATGTACATTTAGCAACCACTACTTCCCATCACACTAAGGGGAAAAACATCTCAGCTTTGAAAAGATGCTGTGTATCAAAAAACCAGGATGATTTCAGATAGTTCAAACAGACAATGTCCAACATCCAACAGCAAACAGAAGCAAAACCAGCAAAACCACCCTGAGCCTGCCAAAGGCACACAAGGAGTAAGTGAGGTGCCCAGCATTATTTAGGTGTTCTCTCTGCTCCTGTTAGCAGAAGGCAAAAGGGAATTTCACTATACAGAGGATGCTGGCACAAGCTGTGCACCTATTTATCATGTAACTGCAGCCATGCCATTTGCTCATTTTAAACTGTGTTAGTCTTTCAAAAGAGACTGCAAGGTTAAACTTCCAGCTGTGACAGCAGCAACACAACAGTGTGCTAGGGAGAGCTGCACACATGCACAGAGTATTCAAATGGGACAGCATGGACAGACACCTCTCCAAAGTTCTAACCTCACATCATTACCACTCCTTAGCAGCACACATTCTCTTACATTTTTAGAAAAATTGACAATTGGAAAAGAGTATCCACATTCTTTTAGTCTTTCTTCATAAATCAAAACTCATAACCCTGATAACATCTCACTGAGAGAGAATTTATAGATTATTAATTCTGCTAATTCTATGGAAGGTCAACTAAAGAAGAACAAGGGAAATTAGAAAATAAATTATTCTGCCTGACTTCTCCATTAAAATTGATTAATTTAATACAAACTTCAGAGAATAGTTTAACAGTTACTAGCTCACCTAGAGGACCCTTTTTCTACGTGAACACAAGTCTACACAATTCAATACATTTGAAGAAATCCAAATGACATTTAGAAGCAATACCACCCCCACCAAGGCGGTTCATAGTTTGAGCATTTCTGCAGCAAGGCTGGAAGGCTGCACAGTGACTGCTCATGAGCCCTGTCAGTGTGTGAGCTGCACCTTCAGCACTGCTCGTCTCAGAGCTGTCTCAAATGAGCAGGCCAGGCCCTCTGGCTGTTTGAAGACTGACCTCAGAGGCCCCAAAACAAGAGGTCTTTACACTTCCTTGGTATCATCTCTTGTGGAGAAGCGGGCTAGTGCTTGTTCCCGCTGCTCACAGATTATCTGAGCACTGCAAAGTTGATAAAACTGACAATTCTACCACTTGCCACAAGAATGAATAGCAGGACAGCAACTGACAGACCTGTCAAAATAATTCTTTTCTGTGGCAAAGCTGTGCCAAGTTAAAAGACACACTGCAGCTTTCCATCAGCACATGCAACCACAAGTGCATCACTTTCTTAGCAAAACAGTTCTTCAAACAAGAACCAACTATAAAAGAAACAGAAGCATTTTAAAAAGATTATCTTAAACTTTTTTTTAGTTGCAACTTCAAAATGTCCTACTGTCAGAATTTGACAACAGAATTTTTATATGTGCATTACAGAAATGCCTCCACTTTTCAATAGCCTTTTGGAATGCACAAGCTATAGCAATTGTTTCAAAATTGAGTTATGAGGTAAATACAGGATCTGCAAAGAAACTGAGAATCCAAATACATCTATATAATTAAAACCAGGACTGGAGAATATTTATCCTCTGAAACTATTCAAATAATTTAAAACAACACATTCAAAAGCAACTGGTATAGACTAATGGCTTAGGCTTATTATTTATTACAGAAAACTTAGGGTTTTTTCAACTACATTTTTTTTACTTTAAAACAATTTTTCAAACAGTCCTTGGTCATTAAAAAACCCAACATTGCTTGAAACTTGAATTACACTAATGAAGAGAGCCTTTCTCCTTCAGACTACTCTAGGATCTGCACTCTGAAATCTGATACTTAAGCCTTTAAAGATCAAGTGATTTTAAGTGTTAAGTAAAATGGTCTACAAACACGTTTCTGTGTAAAAACCTAAATTACTAATCCCTATGCTTTGAAAGAACTGAAGCACTGTTCTTGAGCTGTTACTTTTGGTTACTTTTCCCATTTTTTTCTGTTTTTTTGTTAAACTGGAAAAAAACCGTAGCTTACCATCTGTTTGTGACTTGCTCAGGAAAATTGTGCTTGCTCTGGGATGATCAGATGGATTAGATTCCAAGGCTAAATCTGAAATAGGAAGGACAAAAAAAGGAGATACCTTTAATAAAAGATGATAACTGCAACAATTCCCACCCATCCTCAAAGTGCTCAAGCACAGTGAAGGAAACAAGATCAAACTCACACAGAATGGGTTGTCTCTCTGAAACAGAACTGTACTTTTGCCAAAATGAATAAAAATTTTATATTTTTCCCTCTGAGAAAAAAAACCAACCAAAACCGGACAGATAAACCCATTTATCTTCAAAAGTCAGTCTGTGTCCCTGCATGTTAGGGGAGCTGGCTGTGGGGCAGGTGCTCAGAAGTGAGCAGAAAGCTAGAACTTTACCAAGAGAATAATTTAAAAAAAACATACCAAACTAACTAACAAAAAATTATCACTGCTGATCTTTCTGTCTACGCTTTATGTACCAAATACAGCAGGAAACAACCTCTGTGGTCTTACAAAAGAACCTAATAAGTAACATTTATGGTGCTGATAAATATTAAAACATGAAGCTTACACTCTTGAGTTCTTCTGGAATTTCAAATAAAACCATGTAAAGCTAAAATAGAGTTATTGAATAACCAAATGACTGCTTTAGTCCTTCGCCACAACAGAGCAGTGATGGCTTTAGAAGAGGATATATTCCTGCCTTAGATTAAGATGGAAGTGATCACAAAAGTTTGTTGATGAAATTGTGACCATCATGATGAAATTCTGAGCTGCCTTAGCTTTGACAGAAGAAACAGCTGCTCCAAGGAAGTCGTGCTACAGACACAGTGAGTTATGTGAACACATGAACAGAATACTGTAGCACTGTGACCCTCTAAGTCCTGGAAAGAGCAATTCTGCATCCATTTACAGTTGTCACTGTCATGCCATGCCAGCCATACAAGCACACACACTCGTACACGAGCACTTGCACTCTGAAGTGTTCAACGTGGGCCACCAACACAGCTGACACACCCCTAAAAAGAAAAGCCATCTAAGAATTGTCATCACCTTTTAATTAAAAAAAAAAAAACAACATAATCTTTATGCACCAAACCAACAGAACTCTGCCAAACCACAAGCTGCCTGGGTGCTGCGGCTTTAACTGTGTGAATGTTTGTGCTACTGCACCTCCCCACAACAGCCCCAGCCCCATGCACCAGCAAGGGAACGTCACTGCCAAAGTGCATGACAGCCCAAAACTCCTCATTCCAGATTCCCACTGGAGCACAACACTGCTGTCCAGAGCTCCATGTTTGCCAAGTACTGGGCTTTACAACCCTGCTGATCTTAGTCCAGCCCTGTTGCTCTGGCACTGGTCCAGGATGTGGACCACTGTAATTTTGAATCTCTACTGTTTAAGTAGCCAACATCTGTTTAGGAACACCAAGACTGTTCAAAAGGCAATTCCCCCCTCCTGTCAAAAAGCCAGAGTCAGCCATGAAAGCTGACCATCTTGTTAAGTTTTAAAAAGTTAATTTACAAAACCAGTATTTCCATTGTCACCTTACTGTACTCATTCACAGCACACAGTGAACAGATATCTGAATTTATTCATGCAGTAAAATGTAAGAAGTCCTGGCTTAGATGCCCTAGAGTGGAATTTACCTCAAGTACTTCTGATACACAGTTGATTCTCTGAAAAAAACAAAAAACCCCAGCATGCAATAGCATGCCATACTGCCACAATTTAAGTACCACTTGTAGCATCTTAACAGAATAGTATAACTTGCTTAAAACTTGTCCACAAGTCTGACAAGTTTCTAACACTGATTTAACAAAATCACGTTTAAGAGACATTATACAGCTTCTAATGCTAGCACTGCATTAACAAACTCAACACGAACAGTGTTCAGAAGTGGAAGTATTTTGCCAGCCTGTAAGTATCTGAAGTATCATCAACAGGCCAAACAAGACTGTAATGTGCAGACTTAAAATACAGATTGTTATCAGCAAGTTATGATGCAAACAGAGCAAATGATTCAGAACTTATTTACAGCTCAGCAGCAACTTTTAGAATAACTGGGAAAGTCAGGTTAGAACGGACCTCAGAGGTCTCCAGTTCAACCTCTTGCTGAAAACAGAGTCAGCTTTTGGTAGAACATGAGGCTGCTCAAGGCTTTACTGAGCTGAGCCTTGAAAACTTCCAATGAGGATCCATAGAGCCTAGATCACCTTTCCCATTTGGGGGATTAATGCCTACAGGGCTGTGAGACTCACTGTGGAATCGTAGGGAAGAACTTGTAGGACTGGATAAATCTTGGGCCATATTTAGGGAAAGGCAGCAAGGAAAACTGGGGAGGAAAAAGCACAGGAAAACTGAAGGAAAAGGGCACTGAAGTGAGTAACTCCTAACACAGGACTCCATGTTTCTCCTTGCTGAATTTCATAGGGCCCAGTGCTGTCCAGGTCCCTCTGAATAAGCAGCCTCTAGCACATTGACTGCTGGCTGTCATCTGCAATTTGGGCATCCTCCATCACCTCCTCCAGGTCACTGATAGATGGACAGATGCTTTTTTTCCCCAGGGAAGAGACAACACAGGATAACACCCATCCTCCCTCACCTCATAAAAAAAAAATACACTACTATCTTGACTTCCCTATGGTTTTGATTTACTTTGAAACCATGTGACTTGTTAATGCTCACTTACATTGTTTCTGCCTCTCCCTGTGCTCTGCCAGTCCCTATATCCATGCCTCTTACATGTTAGAAATCAGGTCTAGGACTAAAAGCACAAGAATAACCAACTTTCATCCCAGACAAAAAGTGTGTGCAATGTCTTCTTGTAATTCCAGGCAAGAAGATCCACAGCACTGCAGCGTGCACTGAGTGACACAAAATTGACAAGGCCACATGAGTCAACCCCTGAGCCAAGCAGACCCACACATTTAAGGAGAGGAACAGAACGGAAAGGATCATAGACTTCACTGGCTCCAGTTCCGTACTGGCTCTGCCAGACACTTTCTGCTGGATGAAACCAGGTGTATCAGCACCCACAGCACAGATTATACAACCAGAGTTACTAATACTAAGATACTAATAGTCCAAGACACATCACACGGCTCCCAGTAAGCAATCCCACCAGAAATGATCAGCACACTGCAGCTGGGTTTGGTATTCCAGGGTAACATGGCCTGAGCACACACAGTGTACCTGCTTTGGCCTAGCAAGAGTCTGCAAAGAAAGATGCATTTCACAGACCACCTCCCTGTAGCTTTCCCCTTAGAAGCTGCCAGAGAACTTTAACCATCCTGTCTGTGCCATTTTCCCTGGACAATGCTTTTTTTTCTAAGCAATGGAAAAAGCAGTTATGTGATTTACTCGTCCTAAACTGCCAATGTTGTTCATGAAATACCAAAAGGCAACAGCAATACAGCTGAAGGAAACATAAGGCAAGAGGCAGATAAGGGCATGAGCAGAGGTAAAATTTAATGGGAAACAGCAAAAGAAAAGGCAGAGGAAGAGATAAATCTGTCTGCAAACAATCTGACTCACAACCAAGCATAACTCCTAATACTTCATCCTGGTAGCACTCCATAGTCCAAAGCCAAGATAGTAAGGGTAAGTCTTGAGCAGGAGCTGCATCACAAGTTGTATGACAGAAAACTCAAGCTTCACAGTAAGCTAATATGTGAAAAAGAAAGCATGTATGCCACAGGATAAACAGGAATAATAGGAATTAAAACATGCAGAAACAAGAATGAGAGAAATGAGAGGAACAACAGGATGATATAAAAAGCAAGAAAACAGCTCCAGAACACTTTTGTTCTAGAGGCTATTAACTCAATAGAAATCAAAACACTTTCTATCAGACCCTCACACTTAAGTGATAAAGAGGTGAGAAGGGAAGATTCCCACCAGAAATCAGGTCTATGAGAGCAGGAAAATAATGGTGCTACACAAGGGCCCTTCACCAGTCTGAGAACAGCATGTTAGAAACAACCTTCCCCCGTATTTCTCTGCATCTCTCAGAGCCATTTACTCATGTGTACTACCAAGCTTGTCAGATCAACCCTGCCTCCAGGTGGAGCAGAGAGAAGCCTGAACTTGCTTCCCTGCGCCACCGTTGCCCCTTAGAGGAATCCCTTGCAGCTCACCTGCACTCAGACAATCTCAGCCACCTCGGCTGCTGCTGTGCACACACAGACCCCCACAGGGCAGATCACATCAACTTTAAAGGCAATCCTCTGCCCTAGCTCAGGATCTTGCATCCTTTCCACAACACAAAATCCACATGACGACTTTACTTTTATCCATGTCATGTAAGAATGTGTGTAGGTTTTAGGAATTTATTACGCTAGCTACTTATCTATGGTTTACACACCTCCACGGGTGACTTCTAATTATTACAAACACATTTTACACATTGCATCGTGCTACATGTATTATCCTGTGAATAAAGCTGACAGTCAAAGATGAGACTAAGTAGCAGCCCTTTGACAATTTCACTACTTCAGAACAAACTATTGCATTTCCTTCAACAGTTTTAGCCCCATCCTTTGCTCTGCTGGACAGCACTAACATTTTGTTACAGCACACATTTAAAGCATTAAACAATACAATAATCTCTTTGCTGTAAACTGTGTTTTGTCACTTGCTCAATGACTTACTAGCTGTGACTAATGCTTGAGTTCCCTTATATTTCATTACCTTATGCTATAAAGATGCAAGCCACTTAACCCTGCCAATAAAGATGTAAAGACTGTAACAAATTAGATAAGCAAATCTGCCAATCCATTTCAAAAGTCTGTTATTCCTAACAATAATTTCATATTAAATTATTTCTCCTTCAAATTATGTTACTCTAATTCTTTTTCCAAAACGTTTTAGGAAAGTTACAACTCTGGTTTCTGTATTTAACCTGCTTTATTTGTCCCAGCCACTCCAAATGCACCAGAGAGCCTGGCACGCATAGGCTGCTTTCTATTTGCAACCCTCCTTGTTGAAAGACTGTTAAAAGATTATTTCTAAATATTGTGAATTTACACAATAGACACAGAGAGACATTTTAAAGCTATTTAATAGCTGCCAGTT